CAAAGTACTAAGCGAAAGAAGAACATCTAAATCAGACTGCCCGATTAGGAATATTTCCCAAGAATGGTGATATTTATTCTGAGTTTAGAGGGTCAGATAGGAGTTAAGATGAATGAAGGAGGAACAGCCAATAAAAGGAAAAATATATGTAAGTGTACGGACACAGAATCTGTTTAAAAGATAACAAGTAGTCTTTCAAGAACACGTGATATGAGGGGGACATTTTGCAAGGTAGAGGGAAGTGGCAAATAGCATGCTATCCTGAAAATTATGAAAAGTCATGGAAGTAATTAGACAGTGGCATGATTTTAAAAAATCATTTCAGAAAAGCATCAAGGACTCTTTTCTGCTAATGGTTAAGAGATTCAGATCAATCTTCCTGCTACAAACAATTAAAAACCTAGAGGAAATTATTTTCCACTATTAAAAGTCAAATATATAAAAATATTATAAGGAATTAACAGGCTTAGAATAGGTTGAGGATTTTTAAAAAAACAAACTTCCAGTGCTAGCCAAGATGGAGTAACCCCACTACAGCCTATCTCTCCCATTGGTTACAACTAAAAATTCATAATAGCCAGTACGGTGGCTCAAGCCTATAATCCCAGCACTTTGGGAGGCCCAGACAGAAGGGCTATTTGAACCCAGGAGTTCAAGACTAGCATAGGCAATATAGCAAGACCTCACCTCTACAAAAAAAAAAAAAAGTAAAAATTAGCTGGGGGTGGTGGTATGCGACTGTAGTTCCAGTTACTCAGAAAGCTGAAGTGGCTGAATCTGCTGAGTTCAAGAGTTCAAGGCTGTAGTGAGCTATGATTGCACCACTGCACTCCAGCCTGGATGATTGAGTGAGACTCTAAATCACAAAAATAAACAAATCTGAACAAAATACAAAAACAAATCTTTGAGGGCTCCAAAAAGTAAGCAAAAGCAGAGAGCTCAGGGAGAGGAGTAAAAACTTGAAGAAGTTATTCATGTGAGGGTGGCACTGGTGATCTGGTGGTGAGCATAGCTGCCTTCCATGTGAAGGTGTTTCCCATTTGTTTAGTTTTTTTCCCTAATAAGAGAGAGTGAGGGAGTAATACAGAGACAGTTGGAGAAGGGGATTGGCTAATTCTGGGTATGAATGAGCACAAGTCCCATGAGGGAAACAATGTACATGTATAGGACACCCTCAAAGCAACTTGGCAAAGGCTTTGAAAACTGGACCTCCTATCAACCACTACTCAAGTCCCAGAATTACCCTTGAGTGGAGCACACATGAAAGGGACCCAGGTCAGCAAAGCAAGGCTTTGAAATCTGAACTGACACTGGAATTCTCACACATAAAAGCAAGACAGAATTTGTAGCCTGAACCTAATTCAGTTGACTGCCTGCTAAAGAACAAATAAACATTCTCCAGGAAATCTTAATAGGATCCAGAATCTCACAACATAATACTCAAGATGTCTAGGATATAATCCAAAATTGCTCAACATTGAAACAATGAGGAAAATGTGAACATAAGTCTCAAATTTTTATTATCTAGCAAACAATCAAATTAAGATAGCTGATGAGATAAGCAATAAAACTAGGATCTACAGAACAAAAGATCAAAGATACAGACCCTGGGGTATTCCAGATTACAGCATTAATGAAAAGCTTCTGCAAAGCAAAAGAAACCATCAAGAGAGCAGGGAGACAGCCCACAGAATGGGAAAAAATATTTGCCAACTATATATCTGACAAAGGCCTAACATCCAGGATCTGTAAGGAACTCAAACATGCCAAAAGAAAAAAAAAAAGCCCCATTAAAAAATAGGCAAAAGACATAGACACTTCTCAAAAGAACATAAACGGACAGCCAACAGACACATGAAAAAGTGCTCAGCCTCACTCATCATCAGAGAAATCCAAATCAAAACCACACTGAGATACACCTAACCCCAGTAAGAATGGCCATCATTAATAAAACATCAACAGATGATGGCAAAGAGGCAGAGAAAAGGGAATGCTTCTACACTCCTGATGAGAATGCAAACGAGTTCAACTTCTATGGAAAACAGTGTGGAAATTCCTAAAAGAACTAGAAATTGACCTTCCATGTGACCCAGGAATCCCCCTATTGAGAATATACCCAAAGGAATTCAAATCATTCTACAAAAAAGATACCTGCACCCGCATGTTTATTGCAGCACTATTCACAATAGCAAAAATCTGGAACTGTGCCGCCCATTGAAACTGGGCTGGATTTTTAAAATGTGGTACATATACACAGTGGAATATTATGCAGCCATAAAGGACAAATATATGGACTTCACAGCAACTTGGATGGATTTAGAGTCTATCATACTCAAGAGATCTATCACAGAAACAAAGAACAGAGTACCACATGTTCTCACTCATAAGCAGATCCTGAACATTTACCATAATACTGTAAGAAAGGCGTTGGCAGTAGCAGGATACTGTGGGGTACAATTCAGGGTTAGGTATACAAATGTTCATTATGCAGGTACCCTTGTTGTTGAGGTGTGCCCTCCACTCCCCTGGCCGTTTCCCATTACTGCCAATCCCCTTCTTACAGTAATATGATAATTGTTCAAGGTCCACTTATGAGTGAAAATATTTGATCCTCTGTTCTTTGTTCTGGGAGGAGATGACTGGATAGAGTTTACATTAAAAATAAGGCAAGAGGCCGGGCTCGGTGTCTCAGCCTGTAATCCCAGCCCTCTGGGAGGCCAAGGTGAGAGGACTGCCTAAGCCCACGGATTCGAGACCAGCACAGGCAACTTGGTAAGATCTCATCTCTACAATAAATCAAAAAAATTAGCCAGGCGCAGTAGCACACACCTGTAGTTTTGGCTATTCGGAAGACTGAGGCGGAGGGATTGCCAGAGCCCAGCAGGTCAACACTGGGGTGGCCATGAGTGTGCCACTGTACTCCAGCCTGGGCGACGGAGTGAGACTCCAACTCAAAAATAAAATAAAATAAAATAAGGCAAGTATCAAGATTTTTTTAACCATCTACTTGTCATATCAAGACATACCTCTAACTTTAGTTCATTTAAAAGATCACGTAAAAAATGTTTGATTCAACATCCAATGTAATACTATAAGAAAATGACTGACAGTACTGGGAAACTACGGGGGGGGGAGGGGGATGGGATTAACAGTAGCAAATATCTGCCTGGGGATAGGAAAACACCTCTTTATCAACAGGGTGCCTGAATGAAACGTAATTGTACACCTAACCCTTAATTGTACCCCACAAAACCATAATAAAAAATATTGATTAAAAAAAAATAGTGATCTGCAAGAAAACAAAAGAAAAAAAAATGTTTGATTCAGCAAACCTCCCCCATCATCTGATCTCTAACTTAGCTAAAAACTAAACTAGCAGACTTGTCTCTCTAGCACAAGTTACTTTCCATGAGATAGCCATTGTACTATTCCTCTACCCCACCCCTGTACTATTCACTGTTTTCTATATCTAGGCAGAAAAGTTATTCATGAATGTTGAAAAGCCAGGATGTTGTGGAGGAGCTGGTAGTAGTGTAGTACATTCTGGAAGCAATATATATAGTTTCAAAAAGCAAAGTACTACAGGCAAGGACCAAGAATAAAAAACCTAACAATAGTGCATGTTAGAAATAATAATAATAGTGCTCGCTTCGGCAGCACATACACTAAAATTGGAACGATACTGAGAAGATTAGCATAGCCCCTGCGCAAGGATGACACGCAAATTCGTGAAGCATTCCATATTTAAAAAAAGAGAGAGAGAAATAATAATAATAAAATAGCTAACATTCATTGAAGCACTTTGCACTGTGCTAAGTGTTTTATATTTATTAACTAATTTAATTCTCAGAACAGTACTAAGAATGACAGTCAAAGAGACTACTGAATTTATTCAAATTATTCAAGCTCAAGCAGGTAGAAACTAAAAGTCTGAATTTGAGCAAACGCTATGTAACTGTTAAACCTAAACTGTTAAACAGTAAGTTATGATATAAATTAAAATTTTTAGCTTAGAAAAATAGGGGATATCCTGAAAAAGCAGGTAGACGGTATTTTCTAGTGAATTCTTGGCAGAAACAAAGTAGAGTCAATGTTAAATTAACGGCAAAGATAAAAACTATTATTTTTGATAATCAGATATTTTTGTTTTTCATTAAAAAAAAACAATTCTACTTTACAATTTAAAAATCAAAACATGCATAAAATTTAAAGAACTGCTCTTTCATATACATACCACAACCTTATTAGAATATTTCAAAAGAATATTCAGGAGAAATTTGAGAATTCCATTTAGATTGGAAATAAACATTGTACCACTTTTCATTAACTACTATAATTTCAGCAAATCCCTCCACCAGTATTTTCTATTATGAACGTGGTTCTGTTTCTTATTCTTAAGTCAACTCCTGGTTGTTTCAGACAGAAGGGGAGAATCTAAAAATTACCTGAAATTGGGATTAACTATAAATGCCAAATATATGTCATTTGATATATATTACCTTCCAAAAAAATTTGTCTTTTCAAAAGTTCAGAAGAATTGAGACTCTAGTTACTATTTGTACTTTTAAAAAATAATCTGAGGCACACCAAGTTTGTTCAAATCAAAACTGGTTCTAAAAAATGAAAAGATAAGCCGGACTTGGTGGCTCAGCCTGTAATCACGCGCCTTTGGGAGGCTGAGGTGAGTGGATTGCCTGAGCCCGCGGGTTTGAGACCCGCCTGGGCAGCGAGACCTCATCTCTACAATAAATCAAAAAATCAGCCAGGCGTGGTAGCGCATGCCTGTAATTCTGGCTACTTGGAAGGCTGAGGCGGAAGGATTGCCAGAGGCCAGCAGGCGAGGCTGCAGTGGCTGGGAGCGGCCACGGCACTCCAGTCTGGGCGACCGAGTGAGACTCCAACTCAAAAAAAAAAGAAAAGATAATTAATTCCTTCTCCTTTCCACCTCCACTATTAAAAAAATAATAAATTTATAAAATTACATTAAAAATATTTTTTACATTTCTTTGTCTTTTCTGCAGATCTCGCACAGGTTTCTTTGAGTAGATTACATAAATGTCTTGTAGCATTGTTCCTGAAACAAAGGAAACAGTGACTAAGTAAAATATGACCTCAAAGTGAAATCACATATAAAAGCTATGAAACATATTACAATTATAAAAGAAAAGCTTAAAAGATATTATAATATTTGGTATATATTACATATCACTCATAAATGACTATTATATAAAGAAAAAATGAGTTGACTATACCACCAGCAAAGATGATTTAGTAACTGCCTCCCTTTAAAAGTAAAAATGGTAACTCCTTAACAACTTTCCACCCAAGATACTATCAACAGCCTTTCAATTCACAGGTCCAGATTTGTCTAACAAAAAACAATGAGAAAAATGGGTTGGACCTTTCATTTACTAATTGTCCTGGAAATGTTCAAAACATAAACTAAGGTGACTTTCCGAGTAAGCATTCATTAGGTGAATAATAAGATCTCTGGCTGTCTTGTTGAAGTTATTAAAACATACAGCAGTAAGATTTACTTTTCCAACTTACAATTTTTCTGTAGAAATAAACTGTTACACTGGCAAAAACAGTTATTTGAGAAATAGCTTGGAACTAAGTTGCCCTGTTTTATAAGTGCTGCACCTAAGGCAATAATGAAACAGAAAGGTAGACAATGTACATAGGCAGTTGTAGATACAGGATTGTCAGGCATCTTTTTTGACAGTGAGGAATGGTTCTTCCTGATGCCCGTTATCTTAAAATGTGAGAAATTATCAGTCAATGACCACAGTTTACCAAATGTAAGAATGCAGAATGGATGTGTCCTCCCTATCCTATAGCATTTGGGTAGAATTCTACTTATAAATTAATATTATAACACACAGAAAGTGTTCAATAACTTTTTGAAAATTATTTTAATAATAAATTTGGAATAAAACAAACTTGGAAAGAAGAAATTCATTAACTTACTTACTCTTTTATTAAATCTTTATTTTCTTGAATTCCTTCTTCTAATTTCAAACTTACTTTTTCATTTCCAAACTAATTTACAAAACAGAAGAACAGTTCATCATGTTTTGCTTGGCAAAATAAACATGAACAAAATCATTAGGCAACATTTGTTTCCTAACAGCTACTGTACTCTATAAGAATTCTTTCCAGCCGGGCTCGGTGGCTCAGCCTGTAATCCTGCGACTGTGGGAGGCTGAGGTAAGTGGATTGCCTGAGCCCACGGGTTTGAGACCTGCCTGGGCAACTTGGCGAGACCTCATCTCTACAATAAATCAAAAATCAGCTGGGTGTGGTAGCGCACACCTGCAATTCCAGCTACTCGGAAGGCTGAGGCAGAAGGATCACCGGAGCCCAGTGGGTCGAGGCTGTGGCAACAGAGTGAAACTCCAACTCAAAAAAAAAAAAAGAATTCTTTCCTTTTCACATGAAAAGGAATCTTTATGTCACAGCTTAAGGATTTCTCATAAGAATATATCTTACCTTAATTAATCTAAAATAAAGTTTCCTGAGTCATCTAAAAAAAATTCAACATTACTTTAATGCAATATTATCTTCTCAATATTTCAAAATGTTTTCTATCTTTCTCCTAACCCAAAGTCTTATTTTCTCAACACCTTTTCATTATAAGCAATAAAATAAAATCTACAGTTTCAAATTTAAATTTTTATCTAGAGATATCATATACTAGTATAATAAAAGATATTTATATCAAATGAAATATCATCAATAATAGGAATAAAAATTAAAACTTCTTATAATTAGAATCATCAAATCAATCTAATGTATTATTTTCTTAAACATCTGCACTGTTTTGTACAACTCATCCTCTATGTTCATTCCCAAAGTTGAAATGTAATTAGTAGAAAAGAAACTTCAAAAAAGTATTATCAGTCAGGCAGGGTGGCTCATGCCTGTAATCACAGCACTTTAAGAGGTAGGTAAATTGCTTGAGGTCAGCCTGCCTTACACAGTAAGACTTCATCTCAACAAAAAAAAAAAAAAAAGAAGTCAAAAAATTAGCAGTGTGGAGAAGCAGGTCTGCAGTCCTAGCTACTCGGCAGGCTGAGGCAGAAGGATCGTCTGAGCCTAGGAGGTCGAGACTGTGGTGGGCCATGACTTGTGCCACCATCCCGCAGCCAGGATGACAAAGTGAGACACAGATTCAAAAAACAAAAAGCACTATCCAGGCCAGGTACAATGGCTCATGCCTGTAATCCCAGCACTTTGGGAGGCCCAGGCAGGGGATCTGCATGCGTTCAGGAGTTTAAGACCTGGGCAATACAGCAAGACCTTGTCTCTAGTCCCAGCTATTTGGGAGGTTAAGGTGGAAGGATTGGCTGAGCCCAGAAAGTCGAGGTTGTGATGAGCCTTGCACCACTGCACTCCAGCTTGGATAACAGAGAGAGATCCAGCTTCAAAAAAAAAAAAAAAAAAAAAAAGAATTATCCTAAATCTAAAAGGAAAAAGCCCCTATCTTTAAAGTTCCCATCACAGAAACAAGATTAACCCAACTCACCCCAAAATAATACTCTATTTCCTTTTTTTTTTTGAGTTGGAGTCTCACTCTGTCGCCCAGACTGGAGTACAGTGGCTGCCCCTGGCCACCGCAGCCTCAACCTGCTGGGCTCTGGCAATCCTTCTGCCTCAGCCTTCCAAGTAGCTGAAACTACAGATGCGTACTACCACACCTGGCTGATTTTTTTGATTTATTGTAGAGATGAGTTCTCCCCAAGTTGCCCAGGCGGATCTTGAACCCGCGGGCTCAGGCAATTCACTCACCTCAGCCTCCCAAGGCACGAGATTACACGCTGAGCCACCGAGCCTGGCAATACTCTATATTCAACAGTATTATGATAAGTTTACTATATTACAGAGAGTGCCAAGAAAAATATACATATTTTAAGAAAGGGAAAAAATGTATTAAAATTGCAATACTCAATATATGATAACAAAAGATGGACACAAGTCATGTTTGACTTCTGCCATTACAAGACGTGCTCAAAGTAGTTACCATCAGCATCCAGACACTTCTGATTACAGTGAACATCTTTTAACATCTCTTATAATGTGGATATGGTTTTTTTGGTACCCCAGTATATTTACAAATTTTTGTTATACCTGTAGCTCCTGAATAGCTTTTCGCTGTGCTTCAATTATCTTTCTATTTTCTTGTAACTTATTTTCTTTCTGCTTCAGTTCAGATTCTACACTCATTTTCCACTTCTTGATCTTTTCAGCTTCCTTATATAGTTGCAAGTATACTCTGCTTGTTGGCTCCGAAGTCTATTAAAATAGATTTTCAAAATTAATTGTTCAAAATTTTAACATAAACTAAAGGTACCTATTGAAAATATGCATATACTAATAGCTGAGACCAAATCTCTCAACTTAGGCACCAGTTATACCGAAAGCTACATCAACTCTAAACTACTAAGGCAGTATTAACTACTTCACTAAAGTTACAGTTCACTTGACTAAGTTATACCTTGTTGAATAAAATCAAATGTCTCCAAAATGTGCTCAAGTAAGAGTTAAAAAAATTTTAGTCTTTCTAGCTCTAGAGAATGTTAAAAGGGAGGGCAAAAAATAAATATTTTAGTAAATGGAAAATCTAGCTGATTAAAAACTAAAATAAATCACTACAAGAAATCTATAAATCTTAACAACAGTCTTTAAACATTTTGATCATACAAGCAGTCTGAAGATTAACTAAAGGACATGAAGTTCTAAATGAAAAACAATAGTGAATACAAGATAGAACTTTTATCAAGCCTAAGGTTTTATTTGGATTTCCTGTCTTTTTTTATTGTAACTGTCGAAGTTTATTCAAAATCATACTGGTTTCTGATTCCTGAAGTTTTTTGCTATTGAAATATATGAATAGCTTCCATATGTTTGCATTCTGTAATACCATAATCACAGCAACAAATATATAGTAATTTACCATGCCATGGAATTTCTTGTTTTAAAGATATCTATATGCCATAAGTAAGAATAATTTTTATAACTAAAATAAAAAGTATAGCACACCCTACAAATTCCTTACACAATAAACCAGCTAACTAATCAATTTCATCTATGCAAGGATTATTTGTAAGATACTGGCTTGATTTTCAGCCTTTTCACATATTGTATTTACTTCCTGTTCTTCTAGTCTTGATTTCTAAGATTTAAAGTTAAATTTCTCCTAAAGAACTGGAGGCTTTTCACAACTCAGGAACATACAGAAGCCTATTGTTTCAGCAACTTTAAAAGAAAAAAGGTCTTAAAGGATGTATTTTTTAAATTGACCAAATATTAATATTTCAAAACTTCAAAAGATATATACAAATAATAATTTATACTCCAATTATAAGAAATTAAATATGAATGGGAAATTTTCTGACCTCAAAATCAGAATCTTTTAGTCCTTCCTGATAGTGACAACTGTCAGAATTGCCAACCTAAAAAAAATAAATGTTTCATCTTAGGAAATATTTTCACGGACATCTTCCAAATAATAGCAATTTGTGTGTGTGTGTGTGTGTGTGTGTGTGTGTGTGTGTGTGTGTGTGTGTGTATTTTTTTTGAACTTTTTCATTTTCTTTTATTATTTTAAAGATGTAGGGTACAATTCAAGGTTAGGTATACAAATGGTCATTGCACAGGTAAAGTTTGGACCTCACTTTGGTCCCCACATCACCTGGTTTGAGATCAGGTACCCTCCAAATAACAGCAATTAAATATGGAAGACCAGTAATCCAACAGTTCAAGAGTGTTTTCTTCTTCAAATAAACAATTCAGTACCTAATCAGATTAGATCCGTTTACACTATGCTTAACTGACCTGCTCAATCATGGAGGGAAAGTTAACTTTTTGTAAAGCAGGATCTGCAAGATAAAAGACAATTGTTATTAAATATGCTATCTTATATTTATGTTAGGTAGTATATGTAGCTTTCATGTCAAGGATATTAGCATAATGCTTATGTTATATTCTCAATGACTAGCAACGTATATAATTAAACTCTTCTATATAAGCTGATATATTGCCTTTCCAGGCTCCTACCTGAATCAACGTTTTCCCCATTTTTGGAGAGATTAGTCATTGCAAATGGAAAATGAAAATCATCTTCAGTACGTTTGTTGAAACTCTAGAAACACAAAGAAGTTCTTAAATATGTTGTTCCACACCTGACACCTCATAGTATAATATTTACATATGTAATATACATCTGCTTAAAGAAGTGACTATAATTGTAAATACTTTAATGTACATATAGGGTTTACAATATCAAATGCTTTTTCTATGTAAAGAAAGTAAAAATTTTTAATTTTTTAATTAGATGAAGCTAAACCATAAGTTACTCAACACACGGTTTTGTAATATTCAAAAATAGTATTAGCAGTTTTCTTCAATTTCATTATGATCTTTCCCTAGACAGAATTGAGATTTGTCTTTACTGAAAGGCATTTTTATAACATATTCTTGCTTATATCAGTCATAAGAAATGTTTTACAGCTTATAAAACTGCAGTATCCATTGCATAATTCCCCCTACATGAGAAATTTTAAAAAACAATGCAATAGTTAAAAAAACAGTTACACCTGAGAAACTTGGTATAATTCCTCCTTTCCAGTGAGAACTCTACCATATAAATGAATTTCTCTCATTGTCTTGCCTACCTGGAAGCTCAGAGCCAAATCAGAAGTTCAATTACGACACTAATTATTACCCATATGTAGGGCATTTGTCCAAATATTCCTAAATTTCCTTGGAAATTTTCCTAATGTTCTCCTAATTTATATTCTATTTCATTGAATATGTCTTATAAATTGCCTTAAATCAATTAAGGAAAGAGGGAGGATTAAAATAAACAGGTTCACCAGGCACAGGGGCTCACGCCCGTCATCCCAACCCTTAGGGGCCAAAGCAGGAGCATTGCTTGAGCCAAGATCAGCCTAGACAACGCAGCGACACCTCCTCCCTACAAAAAAAAAAAATCAAAAAATCAGCGAGGCATGGTGGCACGTGCCTGTAGTTCCAGCTACTTGGAAGACTGAGGCGGAAGGATCACCGGAGCCCAGCAGGTCCAGGCTGCGGTGGCCATGAGCGTGCCACTACACTCCAGCCTGGGCGACAGAGTAATACCCCAACTCAAAAAAAAAAAAAAAAAAGCAGGTCCTCCTATGTATGCCGAGTTCTACAGCAAGCGGAAACGACTTAAACGATGCCTACACGCGGCGATGCTCATTGCGCATGCCAAGCGACAGGGCTCAAAAGGCTTGGGCACAGGGGGCCGTATTTACCGAGAAGAAATAACGCGAAGATGCCACTGGGGAGAACGGACGCTTCGCCGCGTTTGCTTGGAGCAGCCCAGCGTCCCCAGAACGTACCCTGAACAAAGCGGAGTCTCCCCCCGAGGTCTGCGGCTTCACGGCGGACACCTGGCTGCTGCTGAATCTCGGCGGCACAAACAGCGTGATCGGCTTCGGCTTTTCCATTTTCTCTTCCAGTTGTCCCTGCGGCCTCTGGAGGTAAAATCAAAAAATTAGCGGGGCAAGGTGCCACGTGCCTGAAGTCCCGGCTACTCGGGAGCTGCGGAGGGAGGACCGCCAATGCCCCGCTAATTTGGGGGGGAGGGTTTTTCAGTGTGTCATTCATACATGATGAGTTTGTCGTTGCTATTTGGTTTCTTATTTTATTCATTCACTCGTTCAGTTATTTCCGTTCGAGGTCTCGCGCTGCCGCCCAGGCTGGAGCGCCGCGGCCACGCCCACGGCCACCGCAGCCTCGAACTCCTGGGCTCAGGCCATCCTCCCGCCTCAGCCATCTGAGTGGCTGGGACTACAAGGGTGCGCCACCACGCCCGGAGAGTTTATTTTATTTATTTTTTTGCAGAGACGAGGTCCTGCTTTGTTGCCCAAGCTGGTCTCCAATTTCTGGGCTCAGGGGAACCTTCCGCTTCGGCCTCCCAAAGTGCTGGGATGCCAGGCGAGAGCCCCCGTGCCCAGCTGTGACTCTTGAGGGCGACGCATGACCCGAAGGGCGCCAGAAGTGGCCGCGCGACCCCTGCTGCACTGCGGCCCCGTACGGTCGC